GTTAGCTCATTATTCTTTATCTTAAATCTATGCTGCTGCCCTTTCAGCTTGACACTTTGTAAATCTTTAAGCACTTTTCTCCTTACTGTCCCTATAGATTACGTTACATATCCCTGCGCGAATAAATAAACAGTTTTTCAGAATTTTCCCGCATTTTCTATACACACTTCAACTTTTGCATATTCCTTTCTCCTTGGCAGGAAGTGTATTGCCGGCAAGGAGCAGAAAAGTGAGGCGGAAGTTGAGACATTTTTGCTAACACTGCGGGTAAGTATTCTTAACAGTATGGGAAAGAGCTTTGGCTATAAATACCGGCAGTGAAGGGTTTCCTTCCCGCTACACTCTGCGTATGAGCAATTTTTTGCTGCAGCCCTGCAAGCATAAAATAGTTCTGACAATGTAGCGTAGACCAACGTTTAATGGCAGAAAATCTGCATACTATACATTGTGTTGCACTGTTTTTTTTTTCAATTTTTCCTAGGACGAAAGTCGCTACCATGAGGACATCTTCGGCATCACGCTGCGAACGGCTGAAATACACACAAAGTCGAGGGCTACAGCCAGAATTCGCATGGCATCGCAGCCCTAAAGGACATTCGAACTAATCAAAATAGGCGGATGGTATATCCAAATAAGTGAAGAATACAAAACATTTGTCCTTACTTTCTTCCATATTCGAATGCAATTAAATATTGTCGCTTTGTTCATTACTTATTTGTATGAATAACGTTTAAATAAATTACCTTTTATTATTGATTCTTATGTACAAAATAATTCAGAAATCAAAATCTAAATGTTAAAGTATATTACAAATAAACGAAATCAAAAAAGGATGTACTTCGAATCGTTTTATAAAAAGTTTGGGTGTGGATTAGTCAAATGCAATTTCCAATTTCGGCACAAATGTTAAGGCCACTGGCTAAGCGGCTTAAATTGGCTGAAGGGAAATGGAAATCTAACGATTCGCAAATGGCACAGAAAATGCAATTTATAAAATAAATACTCATTTCCTCTTCATGTATTTTTTCAGACTTTCTTTTCCCCTACTGGCTTTGCCCTATAAATGGGAATTATACCAGTTTGACAATGCCAGACTCGAAAATAGTCAAATCATATATATTTACCTTCCGTATTTTGCATTACACTTTATATATAATGAAAAACCTACAAAACAGTGGTTACAAATGCTAAGATATGTATATCAATTTAATTAAAAACAACATAAATACATAGCTGTTGCATGATTATTTACAATTGGTTTCGGTTAATTAGTCTTGTATAGTTAAAATACAGAATATTATTTAATGCTGATTTTTAAATTAAATATTAATTTAAAAACCGTTTTTTTGTAATTTTCTCACCCTGGTTGGAATAATTTGGCAGATTTTGGTTTACCTAATAAGGGATATTTTATTTTTATAATTATAACATTTTTATATTTATATTATTATAATAACAATTCCAAAATTTTTAAGCTTTTGAAATATATAAAAATTCATAAACTCTTACAAATTTTATTTTACAAAATAAAAGAAGGAAAAATATACCTAAAGAATTGTCAAAAACATTAATAAACATTATAAATTGAAAACTATTTAAAGAAAAACATTAAATCATGTTTTTTTATAAAAGCGAAAGTTGAAAGATTTCACCCAAAAAAAAAATAAGCATTGATAAATCAGTTGCTAAGTTGCGAAAATGCACATAGGAGCTGTGTCCAGATAAAGGCCAAAAAGTTTTTAGTAAAAAAACTAAGGTCTATTTAAATTTTTCATCAGTTTGAGTAATTTGTTATCTCAGGTCCCTGTGCGTCTACTACTCAGTGGCTGCGCCAACATTCCGGTGGCTGTCTGCGGTTTCAAAGCGTTAACAGATTTGTACCTACCTTGTGCGAAATTCTAAACATCTACATCTCAACTCCGACCAATGGGGCTCACCGCCAGCCCGCAAGCGACTATGTGGAGTATCCGATTTCAATGCTGAAATTGAATTGTGAGCGCTGCTTGGCTTCTGTTTGATTTTTCTTGTTTGAGTGAATTTACATATAGTATAGGATAGGGTACACCCGCTGTTTGCAGGGTGCGTGGATATTTGTGCTGCTTTCTAGCCATATGGACACATGTTGTCCCTAAAAACGCTATATTTCTGTCTCTATGTTTATATTAGTTTATATGGCAAAAATGTAGAAAATCCACAGTCACAAATGGTAATTTGGTACTCCGGCAAAACGAGATGTTCCTGTTTAAGACAGGAGCTTATATGCCTATAATAATTTATTGAAATTTATGGTGTTTCCTAAAATTAATATTTATTTTAGGGGCCATACCAGTGCAACCTAAGAGCAGATAGACAACTTTTGGAATTTTTTCAAAGAAAGTTCTTAATAGAGAGCTTTAAAATTTTTTTGAACATAACAGGGTAATCTTTTAACTTTATTTTAATATTTTTGTTTTACAAATATTAATATTTTTGTTTTACAAATAGTAATATTTTTGTTTAACAAAAATATTGAGAAATAACGGGGATATGGGCGGTCTGTCGAGGCTCCAGAAAAAGTACTCCAACTGCTGACATGATAAAGATTATGAAAGCTAAATACATTTCCCCTACAATGACATACGATCTTTAAAAAATATGAACTATCAACATAAATGCTTGGGTTTGAAAAAGTCGATTTTTTTTAAATTGTAAACTATCAATTAGGCAAAAACCATTTATTTCAAAAAAAGTTACACTAGGAAGGCCCCTTAAAGGACACACCTAAAATAGTAAATAAAAAAGTCTTAGCTTAGTCGACAGGAGTGTTTATTCTCGTTTCATTTAGAATCGTGTATTTGTGTTTCTTTTTTTTAGGGAAATTTCTTCTGCAGTGAGTAGTCGCGGTTTGACTTCTGATTGACATTTTTCCCTTTTTTTTAGATAGAGCACGCGTATCTCTTTCAATCAACGCAGCTTCCTCTCATATTTCAGGTTTTGACATATGTCAATGGCAGAAACACAGGAAACTGAAAGATGTTGCTTGGGAAATAAAAGTCAAAGGTTTAGCCAAATAAAATACATTGATATTCGAAGCTGTATAAAAATATTACTTTGAGTACCTTTCCGATATTCGGATGTTACAAAGTTTAAAAATGTAGTTCAAATCGAATTGTATACTGCATGCTCAATATTAATTGTGAATACTCAGAAAATTTTCATTCGTCATTGTAAGGTTTATACATATTTAAGTTAAATATAAGCGAAAATGAACACGATTTCCTCATTTCATCGACCTTTTGCCGTCTTGCATTACTAACACCCGATCACACTTATGCAAATTCGGTAGAAATTGATGAAGTCGCGTGGCTAAAAATGAATACCACTGCTGATTTTAGCGGTTTCTTTCGAAATCGGTACAAGTGGTAAGTGGACATGCTGACCGCACCAAAAAAACTCTTAAATTTGCTTTAACCAACTGAAATGCGATTATAAAACTCTGCAGAAATGGTAAGCGTAAACTGATGTCAACGGCTTATTGGGGTTTTTCGACCCGCAAATGAAATCACCTGATCTTTTCAGCCAGAACGTGAGTCAGCAGCTAAGGGATAAGCCCTGATTAACAAATGGAATGCAGTTTTCTCAACGGCCAGCAAAGAGAGTCTTTGGCACGCGTCTCCCGGCCTTAAGTGACCAAAATGTTTGACTTTTAACCGGCTTTTGGTCCGCTCCACAAACGCAGCCCATCCAGCCCATGGATACACTCTCGATTCCAAATTAATCAACCGACTTGGCTCTCAACGGGCAACCTCCGACGGTCACAACAACCACCGTTCAGATAGCCATAGCCCGGGTCCCACCAACATTCCTGACATAATTTCGTGTGTGAGTAAGCAAACGAGTTCGGGAAAAATTAGACGTCATCAGAGGCAGCCTCCGTTGCCGCTGGCAACAAAAGGTGGGACTCACAAAGAGCAGTCTGTGGAATCCACTCAGGTGCAAAGTCGAAGCACAGCGGGGAAATTTAAATTTTAAACATTCTCAGGATATGAAACGATTAAATTATGGCAAAAAGTAAAGCAAGATTTAAAATTTGCTTCCGATTAGAAAGTATCTTGAAAAACAATTTTTTAAAAATAATGTAGGAAACAATATTTATCATTGGCGATACAAAAAAGCATTTATTGAGAATAAGAAATACTTCCCAGCAAAAGCAACATGTTGCAGCAGTTTATTTTTGCCGGCTCGCAAGTTTTGCCTTCGATCTTGGGCTGCAAAGTTCGCTTCGAACTTAAATTAGCGCCGACGTAGCCGGCTCAAGCACAGTGATGTCCTCATTGGTGGAAAAATAGCTAGGAATTGATTCAACTCTTATAAGACATTTTAAAATGGGTTGAAAACGTAATGTTTTAAACCTATGAATAAGGTATATTCCTTAGAAAGGAAGAACCTGCTTAAATTTAATGTAAGTAAAAAAATTAATAATCGACTACACAGAAATATAGGTATATAATTTATATTTTTTCAGCAATTTAAATAAAGTTGTTAAACTTTAAGATAAAATTAAAGTATTCTCATGTATTCTTTGAAATTTTTTACATGGTATGATTAAATGATACTTGGTTCTAGATTAATAAATAAATACAAATTATTTACAGTACATTACTGCTTTTCCAGAATATAATTTCAAAATACTGTCAAATTCTATGGTCTGTGCGAATCGGTTGATGCCTTCCAGGAAAAAACCCTTATGAATCTTTACAATTTGATCATCAAAAAAAGCCGGAAAAGAGCTGATCTGGCATCGCCACTCAAGCCTAACATTGCGACTTGAACTTGCCGCCGTTCGAAGCCGGGGCGTGCATAAGGGGGCGGGGCTTGGTGGGGCTGTGCGGGGCGGGTGTGTGTGTGAGCGAGCTTGGTTACCGCCGACGGCTGCAACAACAAAAGGCAAACATCGCAACTCTGATGTCGATTTTTTTGTCGGACCGCGCGCTTCGTTTATTTTAGTTAGTAACGAGATTTCGAGCGCTCAACGTTGACGTCGCGGCTGAAAAACGGCTAAATCGGCCCGAGCAAACGGTTAAAGCTCCTATACAGTGCGTATTCCCTATGCTGAACGACCCGCCAGTGAGTGTGTGACTGTGTGCGGGCACAGACATGAAGTGAATAAGAAATTGGAAAAGCACTAAAACATAACATATATGTAAAATATAAGAAACGCAAAAGAAAACGCAAGAAACGTGGGTAAGGCCAAAAGCGAGGCAAAAACCGACAAAAAAAAAGCAAAACAGCAACAGCAACAACAGCAGCTCGGCGATAATCAGAAAATATTTCTTTAAGCCCATCGCATTGTGCGCCTCAAATCGAAAAAGCGCGAAATATTTCGTATATTTCGGCCCCAAACGTAAGTGTCTGCATGTGCAAGTCGATATGTACTATATGCTATACTACACACTCATATGCGAGTGTTAGGCACAACAAACTAGGGGACACTAATAGTAGATGGCAAAACAACAAAACTTATACAAAAGTTGTTGATTGTCGGTTGCCAAGAGTGAAATTATTGAACAAGAAATTTGTTTTTGTTCAGGAGGGTTAGCTTGGTGATTTTGAATCCAACGAAGCGGGGCAAAATGCGCCAAAATATTTATAAGCCGTAAATATACGGTTTTTTTCTGCACTAGCCAAGGAAATACAGCATATATCAATGCTAAGACAGTTGTCTTAATGAAATGCACAAAATTAATAGAGCTCTATTAAAAATCAAAATTTAATATAAAATTAAATACTATAAGCCATAAAGTAAACTATGGCAACAAGTTCTTCATAAACTTTCTTTCATATTTTGAATAAATTGGTATTTCAATATTATCATTGCTGTTGTTTGACCAAAAAACACAATCCATTAAATTTGTTATTAAAAATCCAAGTCTGACTGGTATTTAAGTTTAATGTTTTGGAGCAGAAGATCCTGAAAGTACGTAGACCCCGTTAAATGGGTTAAATACAAAAACTTTAAAGAATAATATTTTTAAGAGAACCATTTGTTGTTTAGCTAGTGCTCTCTAGATTTACACCAGAAACTAAACCAAAAAACCAGTTTAACCCACTAAACTGTTTAAACAGTGGGAATTCCCAATTATTACTATCTGTTTGACAACTAAATTTGTTCAAGTGTTGAATGTCTTGGGCTGATCAGCTTTCCTTGGGACACTCCAAATATGTTTACCCAGACTTCCCTCGAAATCGGTTAAGCTGTTCGAGCAAAACTTCTGGTTAATTCGCATTAAATGATGGATGAGGTGTCTAAGAGACTGTTTTGCTTCGTAAACATAGTTCAGTTACCTGTTCGATACCCCTGACAAACAATTGAAGCTATGTACTATTTCATTTTGCTCTTATTTTCTGTGTACTTTTTTGCGCCCGCAAATTGTTTGCACTTCGACTGAGAGTGACTAAGTGCTGATTTTTACGATTACAGGTGTTTGAAATGTGTTTAAAATGTATGCGTCTCTGTTACCATTATTGCCATGCTGGAGTGTGATGTATGATGTGTGGGGCAGATGAAACAGAGCCATTTGGCAGCAGCCCAGACCTTACAAGGTTCATTGCTACTTGTCACAATTTTTTCCTCTGCCGTCGACGCTGTCTATTCCGTTCGTTTGGTTGTTTCATGTAGGCTGGCTGGATAGATAATAAACATTAAGCTTAATGGCATTGTCGCTGGGCCATCCAGCTATAGCTATAGCTATAGCTATCTACAAACTACCACAAAAGGCAAGTAAATCAACAATAAACAAATGGCAAGCCACGCGTGTCTGCCTTTTAGCCGTGGCTTGTGAACTTTTCTTGTGGGTTTTTTCTCCTTTTTGACAGCTTCTATAGCGTGTTAATTCAGCCAGCCAGAGTATTGTATTGAAATCTTGTTCCTCAATTTTTGGCACATTCATTTGTCGGCTTGCCTGCTGGGGATTCTTTGCAAATTAAGCGTCGTTTCTTCACAATTATAGAAATTTTCGCAGCTTGTTGTGGGTCGGTCAGGCGCCCAGAGTCAGCCACAAATAAATTTGTTTATTATAGCCGCAATTAGTTGATTTAAATTATTAACTTTGGCGCTCTAATGCACGCGGTTCAAGGTTAAGGATGGCCATTTAAATGAATTGTGTGTTGCTGAAGTACACACAAATAAATATAAATCAGACATCTAAATGCATGCGAAATCTTTTGTCCGACCGCGTAGAGCGAAGAGAATTATTATAGAATAATTTCTGTTACGTGAGATTAAGCAATATGCTCTGACAATGTCGCGTGTTGATGATAGTTCCACCATGTTTTTAATTTTTACCTGACTATATATATCTTTCACGTGCGCAAAAGCACCTAGCGAAATTGCCAACATTTAGAGAAGACTATTTAGGTTAAGATCGTTGAGCTGGAATATAAATAAATAAGTGAGGTATTTTTAATATAATCTAGCTCTAAGAGCTTAAATAAAGAATATTATATTTGTATTATTAACCAAAGTAAATCAGTCAAGGGTAAAAATACATTTAACTTAAGATCGTAAATATGTATTGCATATTAAAGGGTTAAAAAAACGAATTTGATATTTTTCATTAACAATTGGAATAATCTTGTATCAAATATTTGTTGGCCGAGTGTGCCAGATTTTAGTGATAACCCAACTATATATGAATACTTTTTGTAAGCCCCAAGTATAAATTAACTTCCTCTCTTCGACCTGAGACTTCCTGCACACCCAAATGCTTTTTTCTTTAAAGTTTCACCGCACAAAGAACCAAAGGAAGGAAATGTTAGCAATATGGCTAGTATATAGTCGTTGCCACTTTAAATATACCCACTTCATTCATAGGCAAATACCACAAGGCAGGCATGCCAAACAAATCAAACACAGTGCACAAATGGCTTGCAAAACAACGAAGACAAGGCAACGACGAAAGCGGAGACCAGAAAGAAGTCGCAAACTGCAAAAAATCATTTAACGCATTTTAACAGCGCTCATTACCGATTTGCAGAAGAGGGGCACTTAAGGCCCGCCTTCGGCCACGCCCCCTCGCCCACGAGCCCGGCACGTGGACCCATTTAAAGTAGTGCAGACAGACAATAAAAACCCAAAATCCAGCGCCAACAAACTCGCACATATCTTCAACATATAGCCAAAAATATTTGTGAATTTTTATGAATGAAACGCAAAATGTGTTGAATTTGAATTGCTGTGTTGGCTGTTGGTCGTCTTGCAGCTTTTTGCTCACATTGCGTGGCATAGCAGATACATGGCTTGCATGGCTAAATAATGAGCATTTTTCCAAACTTAAACCTCTTACGTCCAAAGTGGCTTCAAGTCTGCGTATCCATACAAACAGCCTGCAAAAATTCACTGGATTAACTAAGTCAGTCAGGGTACTACCCTCACATATAATTTTCGTTTAATTGCCATCGAAAAAAAAGTGAAAACATAAATTTGTTATAAGCATTTAAGCCACACGAATAAATAGGGAGGAGAAATGGATTTACTCTCGGGCATTTTCCGCTCACTATATATTAAATCAATTAATTTGTTGCATATTGGTTACCAGGAAACGAATTTATGTTTAAGTTTTTTCCTACGTCACATCTGGCATTGAAAAATACCCAGTTGCTTGACTCACCTGTACATTATATTGGTATATTTGCTTAAAACTCAATAAAAAATATACACTTTTTACTGACCAACTCCCAGTCACAGTGACAACTGTTGGTCAAAAAGTAAAGTAAATAAATATACAACTTTTAATGACAAGAAAATAAACAGCAATGGAGCCCAAAAATCAAATAACACTGTATATGTGTGTCTACAGAAAAAAACAAACACATTTTAAACAGTTTATATTAAAGTCAGATATCAAAGTCAGGAATAAATGTCGTTTTGTATTTTGAAACAAATTGCCTGTCGACAAGGTAAACAGTTAATATGCCTGTGAGTAATTTTTGCCAAGTTTGTTTGAGATGACTTAACCAGCAACTTCCAATTTCCGGTCACCACTTGATGTGCTTTTTTGCTGACTCATCTGAAATACTTTTGTAAGAGAGTCGGGAGGAAAAACCTTCGAATAAGATGCAAAAATTCTGCAGAATAGCTTTTACCAGATTTATTAATTTTCGGTTGAAATTCATACACGAATACACGAATGCACGGAGTCCACATGAGCTCAACGAAAAAATTTCACAAGTGCCTTGAGCCGGGCTTTGTTTATATTTTTGGGCGAAACCTGTTTCCATATTTCTGCTAAAGTTAAAATCATAACAAAAACATCAACATTTCATCGGTAGGAAGATGGGCATCGGATATTATTTTTGGGAATTTGTGAGCTTAGATCATTTTGATACTGGCCAAGTGGTTCTGGCCAAAATGCGCATATAATTACACGATTCTGTGGCGCCATTTGGCCAGCATTGAAAATTGAAATGCCACAAAAATAATTCAATAAAGGCGCCCAGTAACCTTCGTACGTGTAGTTTAAATTAATTTGCTTTCAGAAACACAAATATTTAAAATCGACGTGGCGCCCTCAACAATTCCAAAGCGTGTGTTAAAATTATTTCGCATGTGGCGGCCTTATTTTGAAATGATATTGAATATCGATCGGTTGGGCTGTGTTTGTCCAGCCCCACTTTGACTCATCCGTATTTAGTATCGGGTTTTTTCTGGGCTATAGTATTTATTGCAGGCATTAATCACCTGCGCTATAAACCGCAAATAATACCTTTTCGTCTGGGCAGACTTGTTTTGTCTTGACTTTATGAGGGTTTCCGCTGCGTTGGGCATATTCGAGCGATTTATGAATGCCCATTAAGCTAAATGTTCAATTAGCGCTAAGGCGTGATATTTTGGTTAATCAATGTCAGTTGAAGACATGAAATGTAAGGGCTGCCACAGGTGTGAAGGAAACTTGAAAAAGCTTAAGAGATTCAGGAAGCAGAACCAATTGTACTTGGGGTAAAAGGATTTTTTGAAAGATATTTCGACAGACTTTCTAAATATATTTATACTCATATGGAACAAACATATTAATCAACTATTCTCATAACTTCAATTCGTTCTTGCCAGTTAAAAGCCCTTTTGGCTTGGTATCGAATGCACTATGACATTCTTTTGACAATCATTACTTGCAGTAAAGTTTCCCTTGCTGAAACTTCGGGCCAAGTAAATTCTCCGCATTACAAGTTGTTGATTTTCGGTGTTTTTTCCTCTGTTTTTGTTGCCATAGCATCCACATGTAGGCGAAGTGCCACAAAGTTGTTGTAAGTATCTGGTGGATACAAAATTTATAACAGGGAGCAGGAAAACTTTCGACCAGGCCCAAAAAACCCAGCCATCCTTCGCCTTTTCGCCACCACTACCAC